TTTATTCTCAATATCTTTATCTCGTGAGATAAGCGATCTATCAAAATTGATGTTAGATTGAGATATAGAATGTAAAGTGGGGAATGGAAATTGAAATGCTTGTTAAAAGAAAATTTTTATTTAATTTTAAAACATTAAAAATTCAATTTTATGCTTGAATGTTTTGGGTTGTTCTCATATAATGAACAATGGTTTTGTGTCATGAGCATAGACAAGGATGTGGCGTTTAGAGGCAAGACTCTCTTCGACTGTCAGTTAATTAATGTTTGAGTGGAAAAGTAGAGAATCCTAATTTCATTTGCATTTAATAAAGTGCCGAATAAATCATAAAAAAATGAAAGCAAAGTCGAATAATGAATATGCAATTAATAGTTTTGCAAGTCCAACTTTAATGATATCCTCAATTATCCACACAAAACACCCATAGAAATATCATGATTCCAAGTATGACGACAGGAATTCGTTCCTTGTATTTTACACAAAAGCAATTAAATAGGCTTTTAATTGCCTATTATCTTCATATTGTAGTCAACCATCCATGCACTCCTCAAATAGGATTTTCTCATTCCCATCAATTAAACTTTAATTTTCGTTTCAATGCACTATTATGAGTCTAATAGCTGTTCCAGTATGAAAAAATAAAGGAAAAGCTTCACCAATCAGAAAAATATACATTCAATTAATTCATGTCCTGTGGTAGCTTTCATTTATTATTCTTTATACTTTTTCGATACATCCAGTGCAGTATGTTTTAATTAAAAATATATGACAATTTTTTTTAAATTTTCTGTTGAACTTACTGCCTTTTTGTGGACGGCATATACAGCATTTTAAAATAAATAAATAAATAAATATTTTTTATGCTTTTTCATGAAAAATAAAAATTAATTTTATGCAATAATCGAGAAAAAAACACAATTTAATTGCTATGACGATATCATTCGAGTACTGTCAATTAATGTGAGTGTGGTTAATGCCTTTTCACATTTCATCTATTGTTTTTTTTGTCAGCAATGCAAGAGCTATAAAAATAAATTAATCGAATGGCAATAGTTGAGCAATTTCCCCAAAATTATTTAAATGAGTTTGCGATATATTATTAATTCCATCATTAACAGCATCATTAACTGGTTCGCAAGCTTTGCTATCTATATTTTGTTGACGATGTCGAATTAATTCAATGCTTAAAATATTTATAGTGCTGGATACAAATGAGTTTTGTGGATTTAAAGCTTCTTATAAAGTAGGTCATTAGGATTGAATCATGTGAAATGATAATTTCCTTTGAAATTGACTCATAAGCAATGCTGTGTCTCCCATGGCATTTTTTCTATGTCTATGGCATTTTATATTGACCGCCAATATTGTAAGTATTGGCAAATATATTATAAACTGGATACTAAATGCCTTCTAGATGCATCTCTTCTCCCTTCATACTTTTTAGAGGCTGGTTTCTAGGATTATTTTCGGTCTGTCTTCCGTAGTCACAATAGAATTGTGTTTAAATCCCGAAATGTAGTGTATCGATTTTTAATTGGGTAGAGCTAAGAGTAACCCTAGAAGCTAGTTTGAACAATAAATAAGGAGGATAAAAAATATTAAAGCAATGTCAGTTTGACCGCAAACACCAAAAAATCCGTGCTTCATAAATTAAAAATAAATTGTATGATAAAATATGACACGAATAGCAATTATAAGCAATAAAGCTATTATAAATTTCAATTGCTTTCAAGCGAAAAAATCGTTTTATCGTAAAAATTTAATGCGAGAAAAAAATAAAACTTATTTTCCCTTAAGAACCCTTTCGAATCCATCCATAAAGTTTACAAGAGTCAATTGACTTTATGTTTATTATGTTATTGCGGGAAGTGGAAAAGAGGGGATTTATTGTTAATTGGATGTACGTCAATTATGTTAAATTATGTTATTTACAAGCTTTGCTTCAGTTTATTACTTAACATTTTGTGTTTCTCAATTCTCATTTGTGTGATTAAATTTAAGGCTGTATGCTTTTTTTGTTTAAATAAAACTTAGAGAATTGTCACATATTTAAGCAATCCCAACATGCAGGTATGCTGAATTATAAATGAATAAATATTTGAGCTAATCCTATACAGAGAAATTATTTAATTAAATTTATCATGATGACGACAACGTGTCAGAAATAGAAACAGCAATCAGAGATTTTCGTAAAGCTTCTTATAATTGACTCATTCTCTGCTCGAGTAATCTCACGGTCCTTAAAATATTAATTATATATTTTGGAATTGTTCAGCACGAGAATGTACACTTATGAGAATGTAGAAATATAGGAAGGAAATTAAGGACTGTAAATAAGCATTTGGATACTTGGGAAGTCAAGGATTTTGACATTCGGGAAGGTGTTTACGACGCGAATACATTCCATATTACGGCTTTGTTGCCAGTAATGAATGTTAATAAGGCTCAAATTGAAAAGGTTTCTTTAAAATCCTTAACCAATCCGGTGGCTACAAATCTACTGATAATCAACAAGTACGTAGCAAAAATACAATCGGAGCCTTGGCCCATGCTTCATAACTGCTAAGCTTCCTGGTCAATCTGAAGCTCATTGTCATTGACTGATGAGTATATGAAGTTCAAAATGTGACATTCAGGAAATTAAAAAAAAAAAACTGACCCAACAAATTTCAAGTTATGAGCAGCAAAACAGTAAAAGTAAGCTAAAAAATTTTTATTACCGCCAATAAAGTTTTTCCGAGAGCTGCTACTTCTTTTACTACCCGAAAAAAATTATTTTTTGACAAAACAATTTACTTTATTTCATCCCAACAACAAATAAGATTGAAATAAGAAAAGACAAGTGAGAAGAAGATTAGAAAAATAAAACGTTAAAGCTTGCTTCTATAAGACGTTATTAGAGAAGCTCAGAAAAGGAAAGTGAACGAAGATTTCATGAGCAATAAATCAAATATTTGTCGATTCCGTCAAAAATTCTCCTTTTTGTCTTCCTCGTAAATTATTTCAGTCAAGAGAAACAAACAATCGACTGTCTTTAATGTTCTATGAGCAAAAATGTGTTGAGCTATTTTGCTGACTACGTGTTCTTAAAATGATTGACAGCAATGCGTGAGCTGTTTTGACTTTTTATGGAACAACGTGTAAAATTAGAACATTTCGAAAACGAATAATTTAAGAACAATCTTGTAACAAGGTCATGCAAAACATATGATTTATATTCCAATTCCTAATTCAGGTTAAAATCAATTTTGATTTACATTCCAGAGTGCGAGTCTTAAATATTGTATATTTATTGTATAAATATAGCTTATAAGCAAAGTAAGTTCAACCTTCATAAGTTAAAGTTTTCAAAAGAGAATCGTAAAAATGCGAGCTCGAATGTTTCAAATTCTCAAACCAGGCGCGTAACCTGGGGAGGATTTGGGGAACAAATCCCCCGGCGTTAACAGAAATTTCTTCATTTTGCTAGGAGTTTTATGAAAAAATCATAAAAATCCCCCCCGTCTCAAACGAATGGATTATTTATCATGAAAAATCCATGATCCAACCATTAAATAAATTAAGCAAAATTTTCCGAAGAACAATTTATTGACTTCCTTTTCCTTATCTTCCTCCCTCCATTACTGCTAATTCTTCATTTTTTTAAATAAAATTTTCGAAAAAAAAATCTTTTGCTTGGTTTTGCCGTATTTTCAAAAGCAACAATTTAATCATCATCATCATCATCGCCTCACCAACAAATCCCTCATTTACATAGCAATTAACATGCTCCATAGGTTTCAATAAAGTCTCATCATACAGAATGAAAATGAGCGTAGAGAGAAATCGTGAACTTAAGGAATCAAAAAATCATTAATTAAAATTTCCCTTGAACGTTTTGAATTTTTCGTGGAAATGAGAATTCAATAAACGTTTTTGCAAAGGAGCTTATTGAACGATTGTAAGCCTTTTTTTCGTCGTCACATTTTCCTGCTACAAATCATTAAAAAGATTTTTTTTCAAGCTCGGATTTAACGTTTCTGAGCCTACATTTTTGCATAATATTCAAACAAATTTGTTCTGCTACATTTCCCGACTCCACCTGTTTACTTTCATGCAGGCTGATAAAAGCTTTGTTATATTAAGGTAAGCTTCTCTGTAAAATTGTCAACGAGGGTATTATCGACTTATTTTTATGAATATTTCATAGAAACGGTTAGCAAGATATTGTTTTAATAGATTGTGATAGACGTCTTATAAAGGTACAATGCAAGGCATATACTTCCGAATTAATTCCAGCAATTTTTTAATATGGTTTTATGAAATTCACTAGATATTCATATTTTATAAAATTCGACTACTAGAATTCTAGCAAACGTTCACAAGTTTTTAAAGAAAAGTACTGCTTATGACCTTCATTGAGGTTCATCTAGGATTTTACTCCGAACTCTTCCCCGATTTTATTAATTAATTTCTTAATTTAATGGCTAAGCCCATAAAACCTCTAAGCTAGATATCTTGAGGACTACAACTTAAAGATTTAAATAAATTAACCCTTAAAATAAATTTGAATTCTATAAATTAAACCAAATCTAACCTTAAATGAATTTTCTTCCCTTTTCATTAATTTGGCGCTCCTTTTTAAAAATCAGAATAGCGAAAATAGAGGTAATTATCATCTTAAAACGTGTCTCTGAAATTAGACAAGGATTGAGTCTGTCGAAACCTTTTATTTTAAATTAAAAATTCGATTAAAATTGAAAGAATTTTCATTTACTGTAAAAATTAGTATAATGAAAAAGGTATTTTAATTGACATAATTAAAATAGACGAAAAGAAATTTTGCTCGTATTTATTTCAAAAATTTATAATCTTATTAGAGAAAAGCCTTGAATAGTAAAGTACTTTTATGTCATACAGCACTGAAATTATTCTGACAATTGCAGAATTGTATTATTAAATTTTAATCAGATTTCAAAAGTTTATTGATTACAGACTTAAAAAAAACTTTGTGACGAATCATGAATATTTTAAGTAAATCATGATGAATTACAAACTTTTATGGTTTCCCATTAAAAATGAAGCTACATTTAGTATTTTAATTTAGAAAGCAATTGAAAATTAAAAACTCCGACGATCTTAGTTTTTTAAAGAACTTACAAAAATTGACGAAAAAAAGTTTGACCAACTTTGATCTGCAGAGGTTAAGAGTGGTCTGGATTTACTTAAACTTCAATCTGACCAAATTCATGCTCTACTTAAAATACACTGTAGCAGAAAAAAATACATAAGGTTAAATCCAAATTGCTTTTTATATAGGCTTGATTTGTGCCTTCCTTCAATTATGATAATAATTTACATTTTCAACTTGAATTTTCCTCGAAGTTTTACCAAATAATTTATTTTAAAATAATTGAGTATTTATAAATATTCTGGCTTCATGTCTGAGCAAATTGGAATCTTGGATATCAAACCATTTGAAGGCGATTCTAGCAGTGCAAGAATAAGCTTCTTTGAAGCTTTATCAATGTCTTAACACTAAGCTTAAAATAAACTCCTTAGCTCTTCTTCAGTTTCAATCAAAACTGCTTTCTATCAAAGCATAAAAAATAAATCGAGAACTTACTTCCTTTTAACCGTAATTGAGGCAACTGAAAGTAAAATTTTTCATGCTAATCTTTCCAAAAACACATAAAAACGATGAGCGACTACAACAACGTAGATTGTGTGATGGAATGTCTACCATGAAAAATTATTTCTTCTTCCTTTTCACACGGATAAAAATGATGAACGGAAAAAAGCAGAACAATCATTAAAGGTGGGAAATGAAGAAGAAAATTTTACGGAACGACTGGAAAAGACTACCAATTTAAGTGAAATTTTGATGATGATAAAGAAGGAAAAGTTTTTCTTTTTTGAAATAAAATTTTCATGAAAAATCACTTAAACCGAATCGTTGAGCTTTTTTGTCTGTGAAAATTATTTTTTCTTATTTTATAAATTTTTGTGATTTTATCTATTGGAGGACGTTCGAATATAACGTAATGCTAAAATTTAAAACTCATCCTACGATTCCGTAACAAAATTTGCAGTGATGTAGGCGTGTCACCCGGAGCAAAATAATAAAACTGAGGTGAGAGCTTGGTATGCTTAAAATGGAATAACACCTCCTATTCCAAGCTGGCTTGACAGAATACCCAAATGACCCATTAAGATAGCTTTTATCTTGACATCAACAGACAACAGATATACAATTGAACGAAATTGAAATTCATGACATTAAAATTAACATAATTCTTTCACACTTTATGCTCCATTTTACAACATTCTATGCTACTAAATAATAAAATTTGTTTATAGTTATTGATTTTACTGAACGCATTGATACAGCAAATTGTCAAAATATGCTTGAGGTAGCAAAACAGAATTATTTGAGAAATTATTGGTAATCGAATAGTAAGGTTTTGATCTCTGGTTTTAAATATTTGTTATCACGAGATTTTTATTGTTTACCAGGACGTTGAGTTCTTGCTTGTTTTATGTCACTTCTGATTATTTTGATCAGTTCCATGCCCTTGATGAGAATCAAACCTTTTAAAGTTCAAGAATTAATTTATTGCGTTACATACGCAAATGATCATAAAACATTGTGTAAAACCACGCATAACAAAATTAACATCAAAGCTTTAGAGCTTCATATTCGTGTATTAATCTCACTTCAATCCACAAATCTATTATATGAATTTATTCAATGTCATGCCTTGTTTGACATACATGTACCATGCGATTTATCGACATGTTCGATAACAACATTGGAACATAAAAAATTTACATAAATTCAGCAAGTGAAATGTTATGACAATTTTTGCTGAATTTTTTATTACCTTAATATTCATGCTTGGTACAAAAAAGGGTAGATTACTTTGTTTAAATAGACAAACTTAACCCGACACAAAAGTTTCAATTTTCATATCACCATAAAATGTAATGAAATGAATACTTGCCATCATGTTACGCTGTACCATCATACAAAAATTTTACTTTTCACATTCAATTATATTTTTTATGATGCTTTGTATAAATTGAAACTTTTTCATTCCGTCTCAAATGTTGCTCATAAAAATCTTCATATTCTCCTTACTTCTTTTTTTTTGGCAAAACAATATTTTCTTGCTGTCAAAGCTTCTATTTTATTCAAAATGACTTGAAACTTTTTACATTAAAGCAATTTTCCAATCGTTAAATTTTCGGTTTGCTTCTTTTTTTGCTTGAAAGAAATAAAGTCATCAAGACATGAACAGTTTATGAACGGAAAGAGTTTCTTTTTCTCATATTTGAGACTTTTCAATTTCAATAATGGGGGCATCATGTGATCTGCAGTGGCAAAATTGAATAAACTTGACTAACTTGAGACTTGTCTTAAACTTTCTTATCGTAGGGCTTTCTTTTGGCAAGTTCTTTCAAATGTTTTTTTTTTATATTCTTCCCAATTGTTTATTCTCAGCTCATTAAATTGCATTCCTAACTCTTTGTACGCATGTATTTTCAAAGACAAGATTTTTAGAAACTAAACTCAATTGCTAGTAGTTGCTAGTAATTGATTTAGGATGGACAGCTTCGATACTCTTCTTTAATTTTGAGAAACGTTTTTAAATCCGTAAGTTGAAAAAAATTATGTACTTTTGTTAAGAAAACCCTAAATGATTTGTTGCTTAGTGTTTGATGCCCCACTCACCTCCTATACGAGTTTTTGTAAAGAAATTTTCTATTTCTAACCTCAAATAAACTCGACTCTTACCATATTAGCTTTTTTAATCTTTATTTCATTTCCCACATTTGTTTGCTGTATTAAAACTTTTTCTACTGGATTAAGATTCTTGAATGAGTGCTTGTAAGCTGAAACAAACGAAATGTATTTTGTATTCTCAGAATACGATGACCTCTGACTTTTGAACTTGTTGTGGATTTTGAATATTTGGCAACATTTTGTTAAAATTTCTCTGTTTATGATTTAAAATATTTCCAAGAGAACGAACTTAATATTTGATACTCCAAACAACAAACTAATTATTTTTGCAATTTATTCAGAATTCAAACAACAGTTTTCATGTCTTGCAAATGGAAAAATCAGCAAATTGGTTATTCGTCCATACAAAATGCTAAATGAAACTTTATTTATCCAGTTAGCATACTCTTTATGCAGAACTATTCAGAAACTTTCTCATATTCACCTGCGACAACGTTTTGCTTTTAATTCAATTGAATAACATCATTTCAATAACTGATTCCATTGTTTCTTTAATAAATGACATTTAACATTGAACGATAAACTGCTGACATTCGATTCGAAACATTAAAATGTAGATATTCAGATCAATGGAATTGTAAAAGTGTCACAGTCTGTGAATAGAACAATTCGTATAGTTGAAAAAGTGTTGGCTTTGTCTGAATAAGTCTATTAGCTGATAATTTGGGATATTTATTTTACATCACACCAGGAAATTGATTTGAAGTAAGTCTAAGCCACAAAGAATCTATAATTGCACATTTTAAATGTATTTGATAGCTTTTAGATGCTGTGCTCTATATTTAGAACACATGATTCAAAAAATCCTAATCTTGTCCTGACAAGATCTATGTGCCACTCCAGTAAACTCTATTGTAATATTTTCATGTGTCAAAAGTACTAGAAAATTCATTTAAATGTTTCCGTCCTGTAACAAGTTCTATTGTGAATATTTATTGTCTCTACAATCACCTGCAAACTTGAAAAAGACACAATCAGCACATTGTCATCTCACACCATCAATGGAAAAAACTTAATACGTGATCAGCTTTTAAAAGGTGTCATTATTCTTATATTTTTCATGGTCTTGAAAATACTCTATTCAAGCACAACATAAATCAAATTGAATGCATTTTTCCTATTATCGACATTATTATGCTGTCGTGAAACGTAAACTTGATGCAAATTTCTCGATTCGACAATTGTCATTTGAGTAAGACTTGCAGCAAATGAGTAGATGTAAAACTGACAAAAACTCATACAATAGAATGAGTTTGAATAATAAGAATAATAAGATTGTTAAATAAAAGTGTGAAGTTTATTTGCATTGACAACAAAAGGAGCAATAGAAGTACTCATAGAAGAAAAAAAATGCTTGATAGATAATTCTGGATATGAAAGAAATGAGACAATTGGAAGTTTCTCCATCAACACCATAAATGATTCAAGCAAGAATGAGTGAAGATGGCACTTATGGTACTTAACATTGCTGCTTGATTTACTACAAAAGCTTTTATATGGTGATGCATTTTCTTACTGACATGGTTCAGCATTTCATGCTGCATTTAATGTGATTTCTAAATTAAATTGTCGAATGTAAATTAGCAATGAAATTTGACTTTAAAGTTGTTGAATGAACCCAACTGAACTATATCAGCTTCAATGTTGTTGAATTTCATTTAGGTTTGCAATCTAAAAAGATGGATGCTTGGGGGTTGTTCATAAATTATGTCCTACTTTTAGGAACGAGCGGAGTCTGTGTCTGTGGAACACTTATTTATAAAGGAGCGATCCGAAATTCATTAGTTGACGTCATTTATGCCTTAAAAACCTTAATGTTGGAAGATATTACTGAACATCCACTTTAAGGGGCCCAAATTGAATCTCAGTTCGTGCTATTTTCATTTAAATCTAAATGATTGAAATGCCTGAAGTAATATTTGCTTCAGTCAGACAAGCCTTAATGATTTCTGTTGAAACTTTATGTATTATCCAAGGGTCAGACACTCCAACAGAATTGTAAGGATTGCACAATCCTTACAATATTTCCATACGAATTGTGAGGATTGTACAATCCTTACAATCCCTACAATCCTTTTCAAATAAGGATTGTAAGGATTGTACAATTCCTACAATCTTTCTATACAAGGATTGTAAAGATTGTACAATCCTTACTAAACAAAAACTAATGTCCATTTATTTTTAAAAAATAAAATAAAATACGAAAAATGAAAAAAACAGTCAGAATTTTTTTTAAAATCTATATATTCTTATATTTTATAGCTGCACAATATATAGGAACACACAATAATTTATTGTGAATCAATTCGAATGATTTTTTATACATTCTAACTCATTAAAAAGTTGTAAAAAGTATAATTTTTACACTTGTGAACAGGGTGGGTGATTTAAATTAAAAATCAAAATCAAAATGTTTTTGCAATGATTTTTAAAAGAGATTTTGATTTTAATCATCTTTTCCAAGGGATTTTTTTGGGGATTTTGATTTAAATCTCTTGTACGAAAGATTTTATTGGGATTTCAAAATCCCTCCATGTAAAATTTTTGTATTCAATTTCTCAAATTATTTTCAAATCATCAGTTATCAGTTGCAGTTCCTAATAAGTAAGAATGCAGTTGATTCTTGCAACTGGGTCTTTTAGATCCAAGCAATTCTTAAAGAAAGGTTACATCAACCAATGATTCCATGCTGTTTGACTTAAAAGGAATCCAATTCGTGACTTCAATCTTCTGTGCCTTGATGTACGAAAGGAACCGGCCACTTCCATAAATTTTTTTGACTTCAAGAGGTGAATCCTTGATGAAAAAGCAACAAAAATTTTTTTGTGGATGTAAAGGAACTAGGCAGTTCAAGTGCTTATTTTGCTTATGACTCATTAAATTAACGTACTGTAATAAAAGATATTTAAGCTTTTGAAAGCATTGTAAGCAGGTAAATCAAAGCATAGTTGAAAACTGTTGATTTGAAAATTAATTTGAGAAATTGCATGCAAAAATTTTATACCGAAGGATTTTAAAATCCCAATAAAATCTTTCATACAATAGATATAAATCAAAATCCAATAAAAAAAAATCCCCATACAAACATTATTTAAATCAAAATCTCTTTTAAAAATCATTGCAAAAACATTTTGATTTCAATCACCCTGGTTATAAGTGAAAAAATTGATATATCAAGCTTATTTCGTTCTTTAAATTCAAATAAATAAATTTTTAATATTAAATTAATATTTCTTCTTTAATAACCTATGAAAAACATTTTTAAATGTTCCATACAATTATTTTATCCTTACAATCCCTACAATCCTTTCCATATGAGGAACAATTTTGATGGAGTGTCTGACCCTTGGTATTATCTCCCCAAACAGCAAAGCGTTCAGCAAAGATTTGCGCTTCTAGCTAAAACTAAAACAGAAACTTAATTAACTTGTCACATCTTCATACATAAACTCATAAGAGCTTTTACGTAAGCTCGACTAAGTACGTACTTGTTGTAGTATGTGAAAACATAGAGCTATTATATCCTGAATTACTGCAACAAGCAGTAAACACAAAAAATGCTTCAACATTTTCATTTTTATTTATTCTTGTTTTTTGCTTCCAGGAGTTCCCCCATCGAGCATTCTTTCAACGAGGAGTGCACGTAAAATGGAAGAAAAACAATGGCTACTAAAACTCTCACAATTGAAAAATGCGACACGAAAAGTCACAATCATAACGAAATCAACGACACAATTGAATGCATCATCGTCTTTGGACAATGACATATTTGAATATGATGCAAATAATGAATTCATTAGCTCATTATCATTGCTGACATTAATTATATTATATGGAATTGTTGTTTTTAGTGGAATTTGTGGTAATTCTACGTTACTTATCTCATTATGCTCGCAATCAACAGCACGTGTGAAAAATCCTTTACTGCTGGCACTCTGTACAGCTGATTTACTTGTTTCATTAGTGTCAGCACCTCTGACGATTATCGGTGTTGTTTTGCGAATGCAAAGCAGAACAATGTCATATGTTGTAGTTAACATTGGATGTAAAGCCTTTCATTATTTACAGGTATGTATGTGTCTAGTTCGAACATATTAAGTCTTTTATTAAAGCTATGGATTCAAAAATAGAACTCATGTTCCAAATAATCTAAAATTCTAAACAAATATCGAGGACTTAATTATAAACTAATATTCAGGCACACATATTTGTAGATCTACAATTGTTTTGATATCATTTAAATGTGTATGTACGATGCAAATCAAACAGGTGCATGAGCTTAAGAGATTTCCATGCAACAAGTTCATTAGATTTATCTTTTTATTGAATTATTGCACTAGATATGGAAGGAAGTGTATTGCAGTGATAAAATCGATGGTGAAAAATTGATGTTATTGCCATATTGACCAGATTTTGATAATTGATTGTAATCATTAATAATTGTTCATTTACATATAGTGTCCAATTAAAGGAGTGGAAGATTTTGGAATCTGTCAATCAATTGTCAATTTGGATATACTTAACGCTTAAAGCACTTTCATTCTTTACACTACCAATTTATAGCAGAATCTGGAAAAAATGTTAATAATCTGAAGACCTGCCACTGATGATTACTTCAATGCTCTCATTTGCAATATATTTCAGTTTCAATGAATCCTTCCAAGTATGTGCAAATAATCGATTAGATTTGTCAAAATTTATCTGTCAGGGAGCAAAAAAAAAGCTCTTTAGCGACTATGGAATTCTGCTATCAAGTTTCTCCATAATATTTTATATGTGTATGGATAGGGACAGTGCAAGGGGAAAACAACTTCATGACAAAAGGTTTCAATTGGAATTTCCTAGTATAACGGTAAATTTTTCATCGAATCACAACTAATTTCATGTGAAAAATTTTTGCAACAAGCTGTGGTCCCCTCACGACAGAGACAATACCAATTTCGATTTTTGTTCCATTAGAAAGAAAAGTCATAAAAGTTAATAATTCAATCCCCTGATATGATATGGATTTAATGTCCTACATACACATCCAAAAGTTTTTATTGTGTCTCACATCATGCAGACTAAAGTGATATCACAACAGATAGATTTATAAAGCTCGTGGCACCGCCATATTCAATGTCATGAATTTTTAAAGTGGAAAAGTGGAAGAAGAAGGGAAATATGTCATTTCCTGAAACATCCGTCACTCACTTTCTATATCTTAATCATTTTTTTTTTAAATTACAGTCTTTTCCTGTCGCAGCGAGTAGTTTATGTCTCCTTATGCTATCATTAGATCGTTATGTAACTGTAAAACATCCAAGACTGGCACAATTACGGCAACGACAATTTCTTCCTTCAATTCTTGCATTTCTTTCATGGATAGGATCTGCGATATTGTGCATACCGCTATTACTAGTATATAGAGTATTCACGGCCTCATCATCATCAACAAAATCATTCAAGACAACGACGACGCCATATACAGCATCATCGACATCTTCATCTTCATCAACGACCGTAACTGGACATCAATTAATTTCTTCTACAACATTTCCAATTTATCGTGATAGCAATTTAATTAATGACAAAAGACTTTGTGTCTCCGATTATGGATCAAGTGAATGGCATATCGTGTTCATAGTATCGTACGTTAGTATCGTATTTATAATTCCCATTATAGGCGTTATATTCAATCACATAGGTAAGTAAACTCATACAAACAAGATTGCTGTCATTCATGTAAGACAATTTACATTTCTATTCTTCTTGACTCGATAGGTGTTCGTAGAAAATTATGTGCATTATCTCTAACAGCTCGTGCTCAGCATGGAGAGCTACCGTTGCCAATGCCAACAATACTCCGACGTCCAACACATATGATATTAGTAACTGGAATGACTCCCAATGGCCTCAATGTACCCGACTCATCAGTTGATGATTATCTTAGTCCACAGAAATCTTCTAGTAGACGAAGCATTGGCAGCGACAGTAATCAATGTGGACTCAATCGACTGAATAGTAATCGAAGATTTAATGGATCGTCTAGCATCGTAAATCCGTCTAATAGTAAAAATGGCCTTGGTACAGACGAAGAGAATCGCAATTTAATGGCTGAAACTCGATTTCGTGCTAGTCCGAGAACACCCAGGTTAGTTGACTTAATGAAAAACTGCTGCTGCTGCTTTTTACAAGCTTTTTATGGAAATTTTTATTTTGAAATTTAAATTGTAAATTTTATTGCTGATCGTATTTGCCTTCCATCAAATCTCACCTTGGCATGTTGATAAATAATTGAAAGCCAATTTTATGAACAGGAATTTTTTTCATGTAAAAATACCTTTTTGTAAATAAGTTGATGATTTTTTCACTTCGGATTGGAATATAAAGTGAATCTCACAAAACTAGAATTTTCTAATAGCTGAAGATTTTGCAGTCATAGTTCTGTTTTACTAAGAAATGCATTTAGTTGTGTAAAACGAACAAAGTTTAAGATTTGAGAATTTATTTTTGATTTTTGTTATTTTAGAGATGCTTTTACTAAGCGTGGGTTTTGGGATAAGTAATAATGCATTAAACTTGAGAACAAATGTAAAAGATCCCATACACATTCATTTCCAAAGCATATACACTCGGGATTTATTTACCAAGCAAAGCTTTTCATTTATTTAAAAAAAGATTTCTGACGGGATTGATAATGTCTTGTCAGAAAATGCTTTAAAAACTAATCTCGAGTGTTTTAAGCCTTATTCTGTCCTTTAAAAAAAATATATAAGAAACTGAAGGAGTTCTACAAAATCATCCAAATAACATAAAGAATTAATTTATAAATTATCTACAAAAAATATTCAAAATCTTTATTAATTCAATGTAAATATTAAATTGATCCAAATTAATTAAGGGACCTGGAAATGATTTATGTTACTCAACCAAATTTGCTTTTCAAATTAGCTTACTAGAGATTTTCAACGAATTATAAACTTTATAGCAAGAAAAACATGCAAATAAATCCATTCAAAGAAAATAAATATTTAAACGAACGAATTAAAATAAAAAGCTTTTGCTCACGATTCTTTTGCTGAAACTTTACCATCATTAGTTCCTTTTCTTAAATCTACTTTATCCACCTGCAAACAATGTAAATATCACTGAGAAAAAACTTTCGACATTTATATTTTATATTTTTTTCTTGTTGTAATTCTGGTAATGCTCGCTTAAAAGTTATTCCTGGAACTTTAACTGTAACCTTTCCTGATATTAGTTTTAATGCTCTTGAAGAATTATTTAAAATTCATTGAATTGCTCAGATAAGAATTTTAAAATTGCGAGTGTCTTAATTGAAAGATTATAACAGAATTCATTGAAATGAGACGTAGCCAGAAATGTAAGAAGTTTAAAAAGAGATCCAGGATATTTTAAGCAACACTTGTCTGAAAGATGCGTTAAATTGTCACCAAACTACCAAGACAAATCTAGAAAAAGAAGAAGCATCGCCCACAGGATAAGCAAAGATTTTTTTTATCATATTTCATTTTCTCCTTAAGAAAAATGAAGGAAAGGAACAGGAAAAGTTTCAATTTTCAAATAAATAATTCAAACAAGTCTCATATAATTCAATTCCTCGTACTGGCTTGCTTCTTCCCCTTGAGAATTCTTCCTCCTACTTCAACTTGTTCTTTTTCATCATCTTTTATTTTTACCTCAAGCACATCCATTAGCAATTTTCTACTTATTGCTTTCTCATCTTTTTTTTTCATTGTTTGTATACGGCGAAAAGCTTGACGATTGGGCAACAGCTTCATTATTGAAACATTTAACATAATTGCAAAAGAGAAAGAAAGAAAAAGTTTTTCTTTTGTTTTCCTCTGCGTAACTTCGCTATGGGAGTATTGTTTACAGATCATTCCAAAATGTTTTATTTAACTTGATTGTAACTTTTTTTCGGGTGGTTCATTAATGTCTGTGAAAATTTTTCATTGGTTTAGTCTAAATTACTTTCATTGATCTAACTTGCTGTTGATTTTTTATTAAAAAGAACTTGTTTTGAGGAAATGATTGGAATTTTGTTTGATGCTACAGGGGATTTTTTTATTTTGTAAATTTGATGAGGACCAAATTTTTATGACCTTGTCCTTAATTTCTATAGTAATGAATATTTCATTCTACCGGCATTCATACTGTGTATTAAAAAATCATTGATTCATGCTTTTTTGTAAACTTTAGTTTCCAATTCAATCATATCAAATCAACAGACCGGAAAAATATTCCTTTAATTTGGCTGTAAATGAACATTAATGAAGGGATCATTTAATTTTTGCCTTCCGCTTGCTGGATTAATTTGCAATTTTGGTGTAATTAACAAGAATTATTTGCTAATTTCTTTATGATACTTCATTAATTAATTGAGTTTATCTTAATTGGTTTAATATGAATTAGTTCACATTTGTAAAAAGGTTAAACTTGTTGAGTTTAATTGAGTATTCTGATCTCGTAGGAGAGATATTTTACGCATATTTGGTCTGAATGTGATGACTTTTTATCTAGAGATTTAACATTTTTTGTTGACAAAAGATTTTCATTAAGCTAAGGATATCCATTGAGGATTTTGAGTATGTTTCTTTAAGTTTTGCAAATTAGGATTCAATTTTTTTGACTCTACTTCCCACGATCTACAGAAGTCATTCAAACCCCCACTCAATTATGCCATGTAAAACAATAAGTCAGAAATCAGGAAAATGTGCATTTATTGTCACTTTATCATCGCATCATTAAACTTATAAAATCAATAGATACTCACTGCGAAATTCATTCAATAAATGACAGTAAAAATTTTTATTTCCAGATCAATACGACGAGTACAAAATCAACAAATACGAACTCGTTTAAATTCACCACCAATCCCACCAGCAGAACTACCGATACCGCAAACATCTACATTAAGAAGTCGAAGACGTCTCGCAAATATTCTTGTTCTTGCCGGTTTCGTTTTTATGGCATGTTGGTCACCTCACGTCATTTGTTTAATCTTTCGAGAATTTTCAATAACAAGTGGATGCTCAAATACTGTAACGGAATTCGTGATGCTTTTAGGTAATAAAATAAATCATATTGAAAGATTGACTTCGTTACAAATTTCCGATTTGATTTTTATTGACATTTTCTTCTCTTCTCTTTTGATTTTATTTGAAATTATTTAGGATTTGCACATTCAGCCGTATCGCCAATACTTCATTGGGTTCTCAATTATAATTCTTTGCGTCAATCAGCATGTCAACCATTCGCAAAACTCAATTCAGCACAACGATTTTTACGCTCACATTTAAGATTTACTGGCCCACCACCAGCCCCGCCAAGTAGTACGAATGAAGCAGCACTTGGACCATTCAATCCAAGATTTATTAAACAACGTCCACAAGTTCACAAGCCTCCAGCCTCTTCTCATTATCTTTATTGAGCTTCAGCAATATATATAAAAGTGAAATATATTTATAAAAAAGGAGCTGTGGACGAGATGAGAATCATTAGAAATAATAATAATTTATAACAATAGATCTGGGTCTATTGAAAAAGGGGATTGACGTCTATTTGTATGAAAGAGATGAAGTATTTAAGCATGAAAAAGTTAACAATAAAAGCTTTCTTTAATAACAGTTTTTACTGGAAAATGGGATCGAATAATGTCTGGCAATTAGTAACATTGAGTGGAAATAAGAGATTTGAGGTGATGCATTACTGATGAAAATATCTTTTATGGATGATCTAAAATAATAAATAATTGGCTCATTTTAGTATCATCCCATTTTGTGTGTGTATAAGGGGTCCACATAATATATGCATCATCATCTTTATCTCTTTTTTTATGTATGAATGTTGGGTACAAAAGGATGAATACGTCAATAGAATATGATTAATGCATAGGATTAGAGTGTGCTTTAGTTCATAGTGTAGGGTCTTAGAGAAATGGAAATCTAGTTCGATTATATTATAAAGTTTGTATTCATGATTTACTATTTGACTTAGTCATATAAATTTCAATACTATTTTCTGATAAGTTTCGATCAACTTTAGTGAATCTTTAATAAGGCTTGACGTTGTGTTTTTAATGAAAATGGCAGATATTTGTATGTCAGAGTGGTCAATAGGTCTAAAACAACTTCTGAATATAAACTTATAAAGTAAAAAACAAGGCTAGTTCATGTGGAAAATCAACGATAAGCTGATTAAACTATGCCAAGTTTCTAAGGTTAACCAATCAACAATCTAGTGACTTGAGGGATATAAATTATTTTTGTCTAGACTAACGTTGGTGAGCAGAAGTAGCTCTAGAAATCATTTTCAGATGATCGCGGTATATATCACCATGTCAAGCTTGACTGGTAACAATTCCAGTAAATAAATATAAACCAGAACTTTGAGGAATACCATATGAAAAAAATAGCAGAAACGAATTTTAAAAGAGCAGAAGCATTGAAAGGAAAAGAAAATGTTTAGGTATTGAAATGAAGACCCAAAAAATATGTCGGATATTAGTAAGGATTTCGGTGATGAAAAAGGAAATGAGATACGATATTCATCTCGTCTCAATATGTGCTGATCTCCTCGTTTCAGTCTAAGAAGAAGGCTAAAATTTAATTTCATTCCGTTTGATGCTCAGAGCGGGTGGGATGTGTCAATATACATGTACGTATGGCTTCAAATACATTCACCTTATAAATTTTTTAAGCTATGATTATATTGACATAAGAATCATATTAAATTTCTTGCCAAAAGTAAGCAGATGTGAAATATGAATAGATAAGTTTACTATCCCTTTGGCTAATTTACAGTTTACACATGATGAATCTTATGCTTTGATAAAAACAAAATTCTATACTTTCGTATCCACAAAAAGTATGGCCTCTATATCAATAACTGTTGTCTATTCAACAAGCTTTATTTGTATCCAGCCTCAACTGGTTTGGGATTTTAATCAATTTTTTTTATCTATTTCCTCTCCTCAATAATATTCAGCTAGTTTTCTACCTTCATATTATAAGGTCATGCTGGGTCATGCATTCTATTTTATTATTGTGTCCAAACAAGCATATCTATGCAAAATTTAATAAGATTATGAAGTCACTGAAAAATTGATAAATAATATGATTTGTACTTCGAGGAACTGGAATCAGCATTTATTTTTTGAGAACGGTAAATTTTATCTAAGGTCAGACTGTAAATGCTTGAAGCTGCGAGTGTAATTTTCTATTTGCCATGATAAGATTCTTCGAATTTTGCAGTCGAATGAATGGGAATTCTCAGAAGTTGTACTGTAAATAACGAAAAAGTTCAAGAGTATTTACTTATGGTTTTTTTTATTATTTACACTAATTGATAGGAAATTACTTTCACGATTTATTCTTATTTTGTTCATAAGAAATGCTGAATAGAATTCTAAGTAATTTTCGTTTGAATATTCGGCAAATTTTTTAATGATGATCTTTATAAGGGAAAATAAAGCTTTTATGTAATTATATGACCATTGAGGTCTTATTGAAAGTTCTATTATGAACCGAATGTTACATTAGAATTATTCAGCGGGTTTCAAAATTTCGTAATACAGCTTACAGCAATTTATCTGCAGGTTTCTTTAGATGTAGTTAAATAGATATATGAGAAACCTGTTCAAGGTCTTTCCTAATCAATTAAATCATCGATTTTCAGTTCTAAAATAATATCATCGGCAATAGACTTTTATTATATCAAACTAAGCTTCACAAAAATTGATTCTATATGATTTTTTTAAATAAGTCAATAGACGTCACTTTCAAATTAAGCCTGAAATTTATTCTCAAAAGAAAAATAAGGGGCCGATCACTTATTACGTTACGCAAAAAAAACGACTTTTTTCACCCCCCCCCCCTCCCCCCTTGTTTCAATATGTTACATCTCAGCACCCCCCCCCCCTTTTTTTTTCTTAAACATCAAAATACTATACAGCTTGATTGATACTATTAGTATTCTCTTGAATTATTGGATTGTGATATAAAGCAAAAATTTGTTTTTTTTTGAAGAAAATTCAAAAATGTCATGAAAAATATTATGCCCGATCGAATTTTGGGAAATTCAATGAACTTTGAATGTAAAAATCACAATGATGGGATCATATTAATCATCATATGAATGACAGATTTAAAGAGACTTACTTTTAAACTTATGATTGATTTAATTTTGAAAATTTCCACAAATTATGATTGTATTTTAAAGTCTTGTAAACCAGTTTTCTATTGATTTGTTACTTTATATAACAAAAACTATGTATTGCTTAGCTATCAAAAGTGATCTGGACATTCATAAACCATTAAAAAGGTGGAAAATTTAAAAAAATGTTTTTGGTGTGAATTTGTAAACAAATTTTTTTCGTGAACTTTTTTTTAAAAGACAGACGACAATTAGAACGTTACACACTTCTTGACCCCCCCCCCCCCTATGTTACATTTTGTTACAATTTTTCAAACCCCCCCTCCCCCCTAAAGTGCGAACGTAATAAGTGAACGGCCCCTTTGTTCAGCCTTACACATTAAACGTTAGCAACAGTTCTTATTACCATAACTTGTACAATTTTATGACCGAAAATGCTATTTCAGTCGGCCATAAAATTTTCATTACTTTTCGTTCTAACAAATTAAAAACTTGTTGCTGTGTCGATCGATTAAGAAACTTATCAGAAAATACCTCGTAAAATTAAGTTTTTAATTCCGAATTTTATGCTACAATAATTTTATGTGTTCAAACTTTAGTTTTCAATAATAATTTTATTCATGTCTGGATCTGAAGCAGTGGTTCTCAAACGTTTCGTAGTGACACTATACATTAAGCAATTTACCTGAAAGTTGATGAAATACGATCCTTTGAGAAGCACTGATTTTTGTTGATATTAAATACGCATATGAAATGAAAACGCTAGCAGAAATGGATTTAGAATGAGTAATGATAATGAAAAATTATCTGTGATTTTTCCAGTAAGAAAATATAATAATAAAATAAATATTAGCGAGTAATAATTTTTGTTGAAAATGAAAATGTAGTGTTTTGGTGTGAAAGAAAGCATATACGTTCTTAAGATATTTATAAGAGTAATAATAAAAATTAATAATTTGTGGTGGTGAATGTAAAGATAGAATCATAATTGGTAACAATAATTAAAGTATTTATGGTAAATGACATTACATTATTAGTTATAATGAAAATTAAGTAATTTCGTGTGGTCTTTTTAGGGGAGAAAGAAAAAATGCTTTTATTGCATAAATGATATTAATATTGATAATGGCCTGTAAAAATGATTGTAGATACCTTAAAGGAAAAATAAGAAGTTAAACGAATTTTTATGTCACATTATCATCATCAGATATCAAAAAAACAATTTTCTCTTTAAAACGAAATCAAATCACACAAAATTGAAAAATTGGAAATTGAAAATGAAACTTGGAGCTTATCAAAACTCTTTGATCTAAATTGAAAGTCTTTGGAATTAAAGATAAGGAAGATAAAAGTTTTATTTCAAATCAAACTTAATAGCAGGGGTGTAGGTAGGATGCTCAGCGGAGGTATTGACTACATTTTAATATCAGTCTTGTGAATCCTAGGTGTAGACTAATTCTTAAAAAAATAATATAATTTAGCAATGCGATTTTAAGGGTCAAAGTCGTCAACAAGAGGTTTAATGCTTGTGGCTTACATAAGAGATTAAGCAATATTTTAAAAATCGTAAGAATTTTAATTACAGTTTTTAATATATTGCATGTTCTTTGTAGCTTACTTAAAGCACCTTTGAAAGGCCCTTTCTTTAAATTTGCATCCCTTAATTTATAGCTATCAATTCAATAGCTTTCAATTGTTATTTTACATGCTATCAACCTCTTAACTACACTTTCATCAAAACACCCCTGCATAAAATAAGAATAAACAGCTAAAATTAGAAATGTTCAAAATTTTAAGGATTAATACCAACGGTGTGAGTGGAGAACAAAACAAATAGTCTTCAGGGCAGAAACTATATTTACAGAAGTAATTTACAAAATTATTGCAAAGAAAATGACTTCATTTTGATGAAAATTCTTCAATTTTATCTCTTGAATGATTAAGAAACAAATGAAAAAATATTAAATTTAATTGAATTTTGTGCCTCAACAATGAAATGTGCAGAATTTCTAATGTAGTAGCTATATAGCTCGTAAGAATAATGTTAGTAATGAACAAAGCTTTTTATATTTTATAAAACAAAAGGACAGAAAAAAAACTTTAAAAAATAAATTTTATTTTCTCTCCAAAATGTCCTTAATATGTAAACTTTTCACAAACTGTTTTTATGCATGTAGCATAAATGAGGATGAGAAACACACAAAGTTATATTTTATAATAGACAGGATGTAATTTACTGAAAATAGTCAGAAAGAATTATTTTTACTACAAATTGTA